AGGATGGGAAGGGGTGAGAACAAAAATGGGAGGATGCACAGTAGACTCTGCTGAAGGACTATTTCTGTGTGACTTGGGGGTGCACTGTGGGGGGCAAAACCTGCTTGGGGTATTCTAGTATTACCTGAAATAAAAATAAATAAGTAAATAAAATGATAGATAAATAAATCAAAAATAACAAGACATGTATACATGAACAGGTCTACTAGGAAGGCAACCTAGTAGAAACAACCATGTAGGAAGCAATCTTTACATCCAAAATACAGCACCTGTTAAATTGATATAAAACTGTCAATAAAAACATACTACAAAGTCATTAAAATACTTTAGAAGAATAATTTAGAAAGTTGCTCACAACATATTATGAAGAAAAGAGTTTATACAATAATCCCACTATTGTAAAAGGGAAAAGATGAATAATTAATTATTTGAATCGAAGACATTCTCATTATTAAATACACCATTTTTATTTAGCATTACGAAACAAAAAGTAAGTGCCCCCAATTAAGCCTTAAGAACCACAGATTATAGACTACATCATGATCTTAGAGATGTTAGAATGAAATATATATCCTAGAATTGATAAAATACTCTATATTCACTCATATTCATTTCATTGTAAAATAAACTCCCTTGCCCACACACTTTAATTTCTTGAATTTAGGGATGCATCTTACAGTCAAGGTATACATTTAATGTAGTCTTTCTCCTGTCACCACCACCCCACTCATAAATCATCAGGATCAAGAAAATACTTGATTTATATTATGTAAATATTTGCTTAATGTATAAAAGAATATACACAAGAAAGTTAAAAGTAGTTTCCTTGGAACATTAAGAATTTTTACTCTCTTGCATTGAGTTTTCTACAATTTCTAAATTTTCTAAAATGAACTTAAGTAAACCACCTGAACAAGACAGCACTGTGAATTCCCTGATTAGCCCCAGGTCATGTAAAAGCAAGCAGATCCTTCAGACTAAGGCCTGACAGGACTCCATTCACTGTGCTCCCATTAACGGGAAACCTTCAGAGCACAGAGGCAGAGAAGCAGAGAGCAACCTTTAATAACTCATCCTTGGGGTGTCGTTCACTTTAAAAGATCATGTTTAAAAAATCAACTTCTTGGTAAATTGATCTTACCCTGCTACTGCAGCTCTATTCCTTTTAGCACCCACCAACACAACCAAAAAACATGGCCAACAGGCTTCCTTTTATATATATAATATAATAGTTTATTTTTACATCATTTTGTACATTTTTTTTTCATCTCAGTTGTAAATCCCCGTGGCCTTCCCATCACCCAGTCACCCATGTGCTATCACCATAGTCCAGTGCACTTCTCCCCATCCCCCAACCCCTGTTTTTTAGCCCATTCCCCACCCCACCCCCACACAATGTCTCTGGTATATGGCCGTTCATTATTCTTATTATTTTCTCACCAAACAGGCTTCCTTTTTTAAAGATTTATTTATTTGTACATACAGAACTGGGGTACAGGCCAGAGGCTCAGGGGCGGTGAGAGGCTTCACCAGAGACAGAGTGGGGAGCAAAACAGGCAGATCTACCGCAGCACACTGCTGAGGGGAGCAGTGGGTGGGCCAGGAGAGGTCTGCCGCACCATGTGGTCACTTCCGGGGGCAGGCGGGGGTCGAACTCATGCGGAAGTGGCTTTAGCTTCTCAGTGCAGTGCTTTAACCCACTGCGCCACCAGGGAGGGCCACAGGCTTCCTTTGAAGTGCCAGTTTTGAGTGGTTTGTGGTCACTGCCTGAAGCACCCTGTTTGAAAGTATTCTGAGGCCACATTGGAATTCAGAGGGAAGGAGCTTCCTGATTGACTAACAGTGAGTGTCCACTGGGAATCTCAGTGGTCCAAATACTACATGTGCCAGGCCTTAATTGACAGTCTCCACTTCATTCTTGATCCGTTCTCTTTGACCATACCACCTGTTTTTCCAACCAATAACGTTAAAGAGCTCCTAGTGAGACTATGACTTATTATGAAGGCCTGGATTGTTGCTGTTAATAGTAAACTAATTAAATTTTCAAGTCAGCATTACATAGCATAGCATCATACTTTCAAACTGAATTTCACAAACACTACGATCAAGTAATTCTACTCCTAGATCAGATATCTGCTCACCACGAGAAAGGAACAGATATGTCCATACGTGACCATGCACAAGACAGAAAAATAAATGGTGGCACATACAAGCTCAGAGTTTATAATCCCATTAGTTGTGCAAAACTATATGGATTAATAATAAAGCAAATATTTGAATGAAAGAAGCAAGAGGTATAAATCTATTATTATGCGTTTGTTTGAAAGTTCAATAACAAAAGCCTAAAAACTGAATTACATATATATATAATTAAGATTTTCACTTAATGCAGTAATAGATTTTTACTTTATTAAAATCTTTATTTAAAAAAATCATACACGGTGATTAAATCATGACAATACTCTCTGAGCCCAAAGCTGGGGTGACCTGCCTAACTTTTCTGGGATCTGACTCAAGATGGCATCTGATAATGTAGGTGGTCAATTCATTGTACTGACCGTCTTGAGAATGGCCACCTTCCCCATTTTTATGTTTGGATGAGAGAAGAAAACCTGCCTGGCAATTTCATGGATTAGAATGTGCCTCTTTTAGAGAGTGCCTGTGTGAGTGACTCAGACTCCCTCCCATGCCAGGTCTCCCATCCGCAGCAGCTGAGTCTCACCAGAAGTCTAAGACAGGAACAAGATACAGTAAGATACAGCTTTCCTGTAACATCTCTCTGGGCTCTCTCAGGTTATGTCCAAAGAAAGAGCAACACCCTCATCTTTGCAGTGAGAGACCTGGCAAATTACTTTTTATAAATATCTCTTTTAGATTTTTTAGTTAGCTTAAATATCATTTACCCTAACCATCCTAGATTTATGACTATTGCCATTTATATAGCATTTTATCTACAGTTTTTTTTTAATCTACATTTTATCTCTGCAGTGCACACTAGGTTTTAGCATCTATAACTTCAAATAGATAGCGAATATATATAGTTAGAAAAATATGTAAAACACCTAAATGCCCAGACGTAAAGCAGGGGTAGAAGAGCATGCAGTTGTCGAGTACTATGTCTAAGAAGGTTTTGCAATAATACAAAAGATGCTCAAATTATTAAATGAAACACCCTATCTGTTTCCATAGTAAGATCCCAGTGGTATCACACACTAAATGAAACCTGTGATTTAAACCAAGCTGGATAAAATCAACAGCAGTGTCAAGGATGTAAAGATATATTTTTTCTTCCTACATTTTCTAAAATAAGATTGTTTTGCTTGCGTTTATAAAGGAAGAAAGCCCCACTCTGCTGTGAACATTCTTGGAAGAAAACTGATTGACTGGATTGACTTTTGGGGCTGGAGGCACATATAGAGGTCCCCCATCCAAGGGAAGATGGCAAGCCAGTGACAGCACCATATTATTCAGACTTCCTGTGTTTCTAGCTTTGTATGTCTTAACTCTGAATCTAGCTCCTTAACCACACTCACTTCCATCCCTGACACAGTCAAGGAAATCAGTGAAGACAAGTCCCAGGACCTGTCACTAGTACCTCAACTCCCTTCTATTAGGTGGTGGTCAGCACATTCCCTACTCACTGCCTTTTTCTTGAAGGGAAAGGCAGGGAGAAAAGAGAATTTGAAAGCTAATCAAATTATCTCTGAAAAGCAGTGGCCAGTCTCAAGACGGTCAGTACAATGAATTGACCACCTACATTATCAGATGCCATCTTGAGTCAGATCTCAGAAAAGTTAGGCAAGTCACCCCAGCTTTGGGCTCAGAGAGTATTGTCATGATTTAATCACCGTGTATGAGTTTTTAAATAAAGATTTTAATAAAGTAAACCAATTTGAAATACTAATATTTTATTTAAGTTAAAACTTTGGTGGTCAAATATGGACAGGGTTTTGGGGAAATAGGAATGTAAATTTAATAGAACCTATTAAAATGAAAAACACAGCAATTCCTCTTCTATCCATATGGCCTAGGAAATAGTCACATATTTACAAGTGGACATGGCCAAGGATTTTAATTGCAGATATGCTTATTTTATGAAAAGTTGGAAATCATCAACAGTGATTCTCAAAAAGATAAAATTATTTATAGGGTAGAATATTTATAGCGGTTAAAATGGGTGAGCCATACAGTATGTGGAGGGACATGGATATGTCTATTTATGGGTAAAAGAAACAGACCTTTGAGTATTTAAAAGAAAGTAGCTACAGACTTATAGCTCCTCTAAGAATAGGTGTCAAAACATGTCAGTGAAAAGAACAAGTTCTAGAATGACATCTGAAATACAGTACTTCTGTAAAGAAAATTGACATCTAGCTTTACATTTTTGTAAGTTCAGATGTGTGTGTGCAATAATACAGAACACCCAAGAAGAAAATATCAAAAATGTAACAAGCATTACCTCTGAAGAGATGGCTGGAATTGGAGGGAAAGGTAAAAAGAGATTCCAGCTTCATTGGTGATAGTCTAACTTTCCAAAAGGAAATGGACCCCAGTGTTGCTTTTCTATTTATAATTACTTTTTTAAAGTTTCAGTGATTTATCTTTTGAGATTTATATATGTATACATACACATATACATATATATATATATAAAATAGAGACACACACTCTATAGAGAGACAGATTATATCCTAGTAACTAAGAACACAGAGCTTTCTGAAAGAAAAGATTTCCCACAGCACCACACCCACTTTCCCCTCCACCTGACCATAAGGTACACCCACCCAGGCACGTTCCCCCAAAGTCTTTGCTTTACAAACATCCCTCTTAACAAGTCACATTAACAACGACTCTCTGCAGAAAAAGTTATACCAGAAAACAGTTAACTGTGAAAAGTTAGAATGCCCTTTCCTTGGTAACTCTAAGAACAAAGTATTTTCTAAAAGTTGGCTTCAGCCAAACCAACAAGAGAAAAGAGGGCAACTGCCCACATTTCATACCTGTCAAAAACCACTGCTGAATAAGCCCGCTCAGCAAAAATGACATCTGAAGCCCAGAACTCCTTCGTGGCCTTCAGACCCCTGCCTTTACCCTCAGACGTGAAGACCTCCACATTCTCCATGCTCTCTATTGTCATCTCAGGCTCAGGCATGCGGGTATTTAACCAGGAGCCAAGACTTGTCGCTGCTATTTCAGCACTTCAGCATCCCAAAGAGCAAGCCTATAAATGGACATGCCACCTCCCCTTCCCTGCCCCCTCACCTCTCTCCCAGAGGCCCCCCCTCCACTTTTTCTGGAGGTGGGGAGGAAGCAGGCAAGAGGACAGTGGTCCAGGAATGACTCTTTCAACACATGGCAAAATGGACACAGCAGAATAATCATGAGTGGGTGTGCTTCTGGGGTTGGGTCTCAACCTTTTGAAAACTTTCTTTGCAATAAGCTAAGCCCTGGGTTTGCAGTCATGCTCCTCAGACGTAGCTGGAATAGGGAGCACTTGGTCAGTGGGGTATTTTTAGCAGCCAGATGCCTTTGTCAATCCAAAGTTGAGAGCAAATGGTCCAAGAGGAGAAGCGAAGTGATACTTGCTGCTCTGGATCCTTTGTTGTCAGACTCACACTTTCTCAGATGAGATAGTCCCTTACCCCTACTTCCGCCCTCACGGGTGGCAGAAAGCAGGAGCCTGCCAAACTGACTCCTTTGGTATATATGTAACAGCACTATTTAGGCTAGAGGGGCCTTCCTTCTTTTCCAGTGACCTGGGTCTCCCAGAGCACTCCAGCCAAGGGTGTGGAGGCCTGGGAGTGCCCTGTCTTGGACATCTCTGAGGATGTAGGTGTGCAGGACACAGGGTGATAGAGAGGAGGCAAGGCTTGAAGACTGTCAACCCCCCCTCCCTCGCCCCGCCCCCTTCAATGAACTAAGTAAAACAAAACCAAATTAGTATAGTGGTTACCAGAAGGAAGGGGAGCGGAGAGAGGGTAAATCAGGTAAAGGGGGTCAAGGACAGAGCTGAGATTTTAGTAGTGAACTTAATGTAGTACCTAGCCATAGTTTGAAAACAATGCACACCTGTAACTTATACCATGTTATAACAGATTACTTCAGCTTTACAAAATTCAAGAACTGAAGTAAAAGCTTGCATTAAAAGCAAAAATGTAAACAATAAAAATCTCCCATTTCTTTCTATCAAATCTCCCTGAAATATGTCTGCTGTCAGGAAATTATCCACAGGCTCTGTCCTTCTTAGGCAGAAGTGTGGATATCAGGGAAATAATTCTAAATTCCCCACTCAACTAAATACCACTGCCCTTGGTGGCCAGGCAGTTCTCACTGAAGTTGAAAAGAAAAGCACTTGAAGATCTGGAGCTGTGGTTTATCTTCCAGGTAATATTTTTAGCTTCTGAGATGCGTCTATTTACAGGAACCCTGCACTCTGGCTCTCTGTTGAATGGAGTGGTTTGTGAACACTGCTTTCTGAGTCAGACCTGCATTTGAATTCTGAGTGTACACTCATTGTACCCTTACACAGCCCTGGAGTCTTCTTTATAAGGCACTGCTCAGTCCTTAAGATTCATCCCTCACAACTTCAGCAACTTCCAAAACCCTACTTGCCATACTGTTACCTTTGGCAAAGAGGACTTCAATAAATGAATGCTTGGGACACACATAGAGGCCATTGGGAATAGTAATTTACATTTTTTTTGAAGTATGAGCAAAATTATGTTATGTACAAATTTCATTTCAGTGTACAGATGTTACATATTTATGATAGTGAACAGTTAAATATAATACTTGACAGTTTCCAAAAGGGGTTACAAACACCCACAAAATTAGTGGCTTAAAACTGCAGGTGATCTTACAGTTAGCAGCCCAAAAGCCAGAAATGGGGCTCTGAGCTGAAATCCAAAAGCCAGCAGGGTCTCAACCCCTCTGGGGCCTCTAGGGGCAAGGAGCTGTTCTTTTGTCTTTTTCAAGTTCTAGAGGCTGCCTGCACTTCTTGGCTCCTGGGTCATTCCTCCATCTTTAAAACCAGCTGTTTAACATCTTAAAATGTCTGGTTCTGATGCCTCTGCCCTCCTTGTGTTAAGATTCTTGTGATTCCACTGGGGCCCGCTTAGATAATCCAGGATAAAGCCCCCTCCATAAAATACTTAATCAGCTTTGCAAAATTCCTTCTGCCATGTTAGGCAACAAACTCACAGGTCTGAGGATTAGGATTTGGACATCTGAAGGGGCCATATATTGTTATTCTGTCTACCACACTTTAACAACACAATGGTAATAAGGTTGGAATCTATATCAAAAGCCCAGGGCTTGATCCTCTCTCCTGCCTTATGTCCTGGCACAGGTAGATTTCTTTTTGTTTTTAACCGGGCTGACTGGCCCAGGGGCATAATAAGAAGTCTGTGATCCAGGACCTCCCCAGTGGCAGAGCAAGTTAGGGCACAGCCCAGCAAGATAGACACAGCCACTTCAGTATGATGACCCACATGGAGGTGACCAAGGTGGTGTGGCAGACCTCTCCTGACCCGCCACCTGCTCCCCTCAGCAGTGTACTTCGTCGATCTGCCTGTTCTGCTCCCCACTCTGTCTTTGGTGAATCCTCTCATTGCCCCTGCACCTCTGGCTTATACCCCAGTTCTGTATGAATAAATAAATCTTAAAAAAAAAAAACAGAAGTCTGTGATTTGAAAGGAGGTCCTCACTCACCATGCTGTTTTCCTGATCTAGGGTGCCCAGCTTCCAGAACTGTGAGAAATAAATTTCTCTCACTGCTAAGCTACCCAATCTGAGGTATTTTATTGTTGTAACCTAAGTGGATTAAAACACTAACCTAACCTAATGAGGACGAAACAAAATGAAAGTTAACTTACAATAAAATAATATATATTCATTACAATGCTCACAATATGCTTGAATACAACTACAATGAAAAACATTAAAAAGTGGTCAGATGTCTGCTTCTCTAAATAGAACCACTGTGATGAATACAACTACACTGTAAAACATAAAAAGTGGTCAGATATTTGCTTCTTTAAATAGAACCAATGTGATAAGTGAGAGCTAAAAATGTAGGTTGATACTGAGGGCACAGATAACACACAGGGTATTGTTGCCTGTGACATAATCTTCTGAAGCAATGAATGACCTATAATTAGGTCATTCTAGTTCCAAACAAAATAAAGTATAACCTCCCTTCAGTTAACAAGAGTCGTATTCCTAGAAAATTTAGTGTATATTAAACTTTACAAACACAACCCTATGATGGGCCTCCCTGGTGACACAGGGGTTAAAGTCTCAGCACTATGAAGCCATCACTGAGTTCTATTTCCCCCCCCCTCCCGTCAGGGTGCTACCCTCCATCCATCCTCCCTGTTTAACCTGCTGCTCTCCTGATCATTGTATCTCAGTAGATGTGCCTCACACCCCACTCTGTATCTGGTGAATCCTCTCACCCTCCATACCTCTGGCCTGTCTTTCAGTTCTTGTATGCACAAATAAATTTTTAAAGTTAAAAAAAAAAAAACTACCCTAGTTTCTAAAAGGATTTTTTATAGCCTTCCTGAGTTGCTTAGCCAGAGATGAAAAGATTCAGGAATGATACAAGGGCTTTCTTTGATGTCATATACCAGAGTCCTGAAGAAGTAGATTTAGTCTGCGTTTCCTGCCAGATCAAACTAGAGCCTGGAATGGACATAGTCACGTGGTGTCACAGTTATAAGATGACAGATGCACACGACAGACCTTCACCAAGTTTCTGTAAATGAGCTTTTTTGCTCCAAGAAGATGGAAAGCTTTGCCATTGCTAATGACCTTAATAGTCATTTGTGTGTGTGTGCCTGGATCTCACATGCACACAAATACACAGTGAGAAAGGGTGAAAATGAGAGAGTTCAAGTGAAAGAACCTTCATCCTTGAGAAAGACCTGAACTAAAAGATTCCAGAAAAGAATGTCCACTGAGCTCTGTCCCTGTTTCAGCTGAACTTTCCTCCCACCTCAGACCATATTTGCCAAGAACATCACCCCTGACCTCTGAGTGTTCCCACAGTGCTCCTCAAAGTGTGAGGCAATTGTTGCAAGACATGCCAAGCAAGGGTGATGCTGGGTACCCAATCATGTACCGCAAGGGTGGAAGAAAGTGACGTGACGAGGTCAGGAGTGGGAGCTGTTTTAGAGAGTCATCTGTGTAGCACCACAAAAGAAGATATGAGCTCCAAGTATCCTTTTAATCACACCTCCACTGGTTAACCTGCATCTCTTGTGGAATCTGATCCGATTCCATGTTGCAGCCTCCAAATCTTTAATCAATGCCTATATTCATATGACCACTCAGAGCCTTTCAGTAAATCACCTGAGAGATCTTGAGAGAATGATTATGTCCCCTTCAGTTGCATATGACACAATTCAGATAATATGTACAAACAAGTGAGAAAGTGAGGTTACAAATGATACCCAGAGTAATGGTTCATGGCAAATTTTCAATCACTGGGGCAGACTGTGTTGCTGCATTAATACTGTGGTGGCTGATATAGCAATCTTCCCTTCTATTGAAAGCTCCGCTGGCTTCAGGGCCACCCTCTAGTGGCAAACCAAAGGAGTTGCCAGAGCTTAAATCTTTCTAAGACCTGATTTAGTAAAAGACCAGTTCTTTACCACTAGATTCCACCCCTGGCTAAGGTCTGTTTAGGCCAGGGGTCAACAAGTTTCCTTTGGGTCTGTGAACTGATGAGGCCCTCTGCCTTTTTAACTGGGGTGGGGGAGAGAGATCAAAAGATGAATATTTTCTAACACAAGAAAATTTTACGAAATACAAATTTCAAGAGAATCCACTGAAATTGGAGTGATTGAATGATTGATCTATTCATTTATTCAATTCATTATCACTGTGAGGGAATAAAGAAAAAGTTCTATGCACATCTAGCATTCACATTCCAGATCAGGGACAGGTTCCCTCATTAAGGTTCATTATACCCTGTATAATTCCATCTTTGACAAAGCTCCACACACTCTCTTGTCTCTGTGTTCTTGCTAAAATAATACACTTGCTTTCATCTTTCTTTTTCTGGCTCCAAAATATCTTTAGTTACAAACTGCTTTCCTTCCCAAAATTTCCAAGTGCATTCCTCAACACGCATTTGCCATCACATGTATCAGGCACTAAGCTCTGTACCTACATAGATTAAAAACATGTAGGCCTGTCTTCATGACATTGACTGTTTAGAAAGGATTGCTGAAAAGTGTGGAAAGGGCACTGAGAGGAATGGGGAGGGTATTCAAGGCAGTCTGAGGAATCAGGAAAGGTTTCAGAGAAGTGGTATATGAAATAAGCAGGGAGGGGCAGAGGAAGAACTGGAAGTGAGCACTTCAGTCCCAAGGAACAGAACACAGATGCCACATGCAGATAACTCAACATTTGGGAGCTACATAAGCACTTGTGTTATACTTCTTCTTATCATTCTGGCACCAGATGACCCCTGGTGGGGATATGTTCTAAGACCTCCAGTGAATGCCTGGGACCATGGATAACACCAAAGCCTACATACACAACTTTTGTTTTTTGTTCTTATACCTACATACCTATGATAAATTTTAAGAAATTAATAATAAGACTAACAATATACTACAACAATATACTGTACTAAAAGCTATGTGAATATGTTCCTTCTCAAACTACTTTATGGTGTGTATTGTTTTCAACAGTAGTTGATCACATAACTGAGACAGAGCAAAGCGAAACCACAGATAAGAGGGAGACGACTGTTATTGCCTTTGATGTCCCAGTGTTTTATATATTTGAAAACTGTTCCTTTAACAGCAACAATAACTGTCTGAATGCTTGAAATCATGCTTTACTAACATTACCTCATATTTTCATTACATCCTTTGAGGTGAGTATTACGGAAGCCTCCTGCTTGAAACGCAGCAACATCTCTTGAGAAACTCTCATTTGTATGCACGAGACTACACAAGAAAGCTAGAGCCACAACACTCTGTGAAAGCAAACATGGAAACAAGCTCAGTGTCTAGATGTAAGACAAAGGATAGCTCAGGGTCCGCCTGTAAGAGGACCAGTGGGGAGCAACCTCCAAGTCAGCTGGGGGCACCCATAGCTAACTGGAAGGTGCAGCTTTTGACTGCCCAAGACTCCCTAGACAGGGGCTAATGGGAACCAGGGATGGAACTGGGCCAGCCTGTAAACTTTAAAATGACTAAACACAGGTGGGTCTCGCTCTTCATATGTGTTGGGAGGGACCAAATGCGGAGATTTACTGAGGGACTGGATAAGGGCAATAATAAATCTGGCCTTGCATCCAAAGGTGATAAGGCGGTAATAAATTGGGCCTTGCATCCAATTAATGGTCCTTGCGTCAGGATGGGACTAGATGAAGGTGATAACGAACTGGGCCTTTCATCAAGGACACAGTGATGAGTCACCCCTTTGGAATCTGAGCTTAGGACCCATATATGAGACTCTTCCCCCTTATTGAGTTTGCAGTAGCTGCGGACCCCATTCTAGGGGCTCCATCTCAGCTGCTGTCCCGGAGCAATAAACTCTGCTTGCTCAGCCTTTCTGCCTCCTGCCTTCCTTTCTTGTGCGGGTCACAGAAGTTGGGACAAAACAATATGGCTTCCACTAGTATGGGGGTCTCTGCTCAGTTGATGCAATCTGCTTGTGAGACAGATGGAATGTGGTCATGTGCCGGCCAAAATTTTTCTTTTCCCTCTCCCCCTTTCTCACTCCCTATAATTTTTTTTTTTTAATTTCTCCCTGTGTGTCTGCTTTTGTGTCTTCTCCTGCACCAGTGAGGACTCAACCTAATCATCCCAGTCTCCCCCACCTCCTCGCATTTGCACTGTAACATATGCATACAATACAGAGCCATCATAGTGAATGAAATGAATGCTCATTTCTCAGCAGACATCAATATTTTTTTTAAAAAATGATGAGAGGAGAAAAAAACAAGTAAATAACATCTAAAGATTTAAATCATGCAAGCAATGTATCATGTTACTAGGGATACATATATAAGAAGTAAAAGTATAAAGAAATGAATGGGTATGAGAAATGCTGGATTCTGGTTGGTGTTTACTTCTGAAGGAAGAGAGCAGTTCATGAGGAAGCCGGGAGAGGCCATTCCAGGAAGGAGCAGCTTACATAATATATTGAGTTAATACAATAGCCCATGTTAGACTCAGGAAAGATTTAATATTTGCTGAATCACAAGGTAAATAAAGGGTGGGATGGAAAGAGCAGTACTTCAAAAACAGGGAGGTACACAAAAGCCAGTTACTACTCAGGCTTGACCTTTCCCAACAGATAATGAGGAGCCAGTCATGAATACCAGATATGGAGAGTAGATTAGAATGGTGAAGTCAAAGAAAGGCTGCTCAGATAGGCCTCCAATGAGATGATGAGAACCTGAAATTAGGTAATGGCAGTATGACAGGAGAGGATACCAAGAGAAACACTTCCATAGCCCACCAGCAGACATGCCCATCAGTAACAGGGTGGATCCCAGGGAAAGGGGAGGTTCCAGGTTCCCTGCCCCACCCAAAGGAGGGTGGAATTGAGCTGGGAGGAGAAGAATCTGGAGAGGAGACTGAAGAGCAAGGATGCAGGATGGAGAGCAAGAAGGAGACCTGAGGGAGGCACGTGGAGCAGAGAGACATGTGAAGAAGCTGCTCTTGTTTCTTAGCCCTGGACTAGTTGAAACAGATGTGGGTGAGAGACCCTTGGGGAGGTTAACTATGGCAGTGTTTATCTTGATTTTGATTTTGCTTTTCCCAGACTTGGGTGGCCATTTCTGACCCATTTCTAATGGATCCCCACAGAAAGGTGCTTTAGACTTGAGTGGACTTTTCAGGACTTGGCTCTGGGCCAATCTCTTTTGGTTAAACTTTTCCCCACGAGGGGTAATTTTGGGTGTTTGATTTAGAAACTATATTCTTTATCTTTTCTGTATTACACACTGATTGTATTAAATTCCTTTCCATTAAAGGTCTTATATGTTTTGTCTTGATGCAGTGGGTGGCAGGACCCATTTAGAGCCGGCAGGTTTGGGAGTTCAGGGGTGCCCCTCTCCCCACCCTGTAACACATCTACAGGGAAATAGCTGTAGATTGTCTAGCAGTGAAATGAATTAAGTACCATATGCAACAGCTTAAATGAAACTCAAGATGTTGACTGAAGCAAGTCCCAGAGTACTGCATAAAGATACAATTCTTACACTTAAAACCAGTCTAAGACAGGATGACTACAACCTGGCTAGTGACTTGTGACTGTGGACGAGATGAGATGAATAAGTACCTGTCTCTACACACGCACTGTGAGGGAGCTAGAAAAGGGTTATTTATTACCAATGAAAAATTGTTACTGTGACCGAGGATTAGGCTCAGTCTACCCTAGACTGAAGACACGACGTGTATTTTTCAAAAACTTTCGGGAAAATCCGCAGATTTCCAGACTTCCCCCTCTCCCCCACAGTTGGCTCTGTACTCGCTCTCAGAAAGGTGAGACGCCGCACGTGCCATTCCTGCCCCCCAAACCGGCGAAGAACGACCACACGCGACTGGGGATCCCCAGCATGGTTAAAGAGGAACCCGGAAGAGGGGTTGGGGACCCGACAAACAGGAAGGCGGGGCTGCGGGGGGGGGGCGGGAAGGCGGCCGGCGCAGGCGCAGTAGCGCGCTTCGCCGCCATGGCGTGGGCGCCGTCCAGTCAGCTGCGGGTGGTGGCGGCGACTTCCCCTCTGGAAGCCGGGTCTCCGCCTTCTTCTCCTCCAACCCCGCCCGCTCGGTGGCGGAGGCGGCAGCGGTCGTCCCTGCCTCTCCGCCACCTCCACCTTGGCCTGTGTCCCGGCCGGCGGCGTTGGCGGGGAGGGGGACAGTAGTTGTAGACGCCCGCCCCTGCCTCAGAGAAGGTGAGTTCCCGCCCCGGCGGCGGGAGCGGCCCCACTTCAGCCCCTCAACTGCGGGGCCCAATAAAGGGCCGGCGCACCCAGCTGGCCGGGTACGCCCCGAAAGTGCGAAATGGCCGACCGGCCCGGGGCCGGAGTTCCTGCGCTCTCCACGCCACCCGCCGGCCCCGGGAAGGGGCGCCAGGTCCCCCAAGTGGCTGGTGGAGAGCAAAGGAATGCGACAGCGTGCTGAGGAGGCGGAGGTTTGAGTGGGAAAGAGAGGCGACCAGGCAGGCATCTGTGGACTGTCAGGGAGAGGGAAGGGGGTGATCAGAAAACTCCCAGATGGAGGGGACAGAGCGAAGGGGAGAAGAGGCCTAGGACGGGGAAGGGGCCAAATCTCGATTCGGACTAAGCGAACATCCCGGCAAGTGAGACGTAAGGTACTGAGCGAGAGGTGGAGGTAGGAATTGGGGGAGAGTAGGAAGTGCCTTCACTTGAAGTTGTGGGGCACAAGGAGGTGGTGAGGCTTTGAGGGAATCCCTCGGAGTGTCTTTTAAGGATCACAGCCCGTGAAGCAAGTTTCCAGGATTTTCAGGCCGGTCTTGATAGTGGCCCGAGCTTTATTATGAATCTACCATTGGCACAGACATCAAAGCCTGCTATGATTTAGAGCGGTGGTAACAGATTTTATTCCCTCACTACTGACTTGGGGGCAGCTGAGTTCCATCCTGAAAAGTGGCCCGGGGTGACTGGATGTTTCTAAGGGGGAAACGAGGTAGTGGGAGAGAGCCAGGGGTTCGGGGAAGTGAGTGAAAAAATAGAGAAACAAGCAGTGTGAGTGCCAGCTGCGTGGTACGCTGGCAGTTCAGGAAGTTAGGATCAGTCTGCCCATGGAGCCTGGGAATCCAAGAAACTGTCCCTCAGAAGAGTGCATTACAGACGGCCCCGCAGACGGACCCCTCCTGACCTGTAGGGTTTATGTGTACATCTCAAGAACTGAGGGGGGAAGCTCACTTGTAAATCTATTTTGCTAAGTACTCAAAAGCAGGGCGATCAGGGACCTATCACAGGGTGTTGACTGGAACAGGATTTTCTTTTTGACACCCCTGAGCTTTTTCTTAATGTGAGCCCTGAAGGGGCCTTGATCCCACCAAATTGGCCATAGATACTCAAAGCCATGGAAAGTTTGGTCAAGTCTTCTTGTGCCGTTGTTTAGAAGGAGTCTTCCTGCGAGAGTTTTTACAATTCTCACCAACACATTCCCCCTAACATTTATTCTTGAACATACCAATCGAAGGGATGGTTGATTTCATACAAGGAATATATGCCTGGGAACAGCCTTCTTGTTCAGACTTTTAAGATAGCTTTGAAAATGATTGTAGATGGTGTAGCTTAATCCCACTGCAGAAAGTCTCAGTGAAACGCAACTATTGTCAGTTTCATAGTTAATTTTTCGTTATTTGCTGTGTTGCCTTATGTTTCATTAGGTCTCCATAGTGAAAGATGGTGGAACTATTGTAGAGTAATTTAGATTTCTTTTATCTTGGAGGAATAAATACAATAGCCTCACAACAATAATGTTTTCCCCCTCTTCATGATTTATTCTACTTGTGCTGTTCCATAATCTTGCACCTTTCACTTTGGAGGACATGACAAAGTAGGAAAATGTTATGAATTTCTTAAAACATTTTTGTAAGCACTTTATATAAATTCCATTCATTAAAAGGGGATATTAGAAATTCATTGCAACCAAATTAATTGGAAAGATTAGATTAAATGTATTTAATCAACTTGATACAATAGTATCATTTGCTGAGAAACAATAAAATCTGGATTTTTTTTACACCAAACTTCTCTCACCAACAAGGAAGCTTGTATATAGGTGTCACCTATAAGCAAGGATATATAAGTGTCAAGACTACAGTTTAATTTGACTTCCATTGCCAGATCACAGGAATATTTGGAAATAGTTTCTCATGAAAAAAAAATGACTTGCCAGTCTCAGCATTTTGTTTCTATTTAGTGACAACTTTGAGTTTCTGCAGTTACTAATAACTTAAAACAGTGACAGTAAACACTATTATCAGTTACCTTTCCATACCACTGTCATACCACTGTAAGGCAGTGTGAGAGTGCCGGGGTCTTGACTAGTCAGGTTCCCACTTCACTAGCTGTGGGACCTTGAGTAAGTCTCTGACTTTCTGGACTTGAGTTTTATTATTATCAGAGGAGGAGGTGGACTAGCCAGGTTAAGTGGTCCTCAACCAAAGGGTGATTCTGTTATCCCCTGACTACCCCTCTCCATCCCCCAATACCACTCCCAACCCAAAGGACATTTGGCAGTTCTGGAGATGTTTTTGACTTTCGCATTAGAAAAGAAAGGGCACAGTGCGCACAGGAACGCCATCATGTTTGTATACAGGCTAGAGAAGCTGCACACATCCTCAGATACATAGGCAGCCCCATACACGCAAAGGATCATTCTCCCTGCCATGTCACTGTTGAGATTGAGGAGGACCTCTAAGCTAACCAAACCCTGAGCTCCTTGGCAGTTTTAAAACTGAGTTGATTCGCAGTTCGTAATATTATTGCCTTAACTGGCTGTGATCTGTAAAAGCAGTTCATAAAATATGAAACTTTGACCTGTACTGAACACAGATGACACTCAAAGAGTGATGAAATTTCTGTAGATTTAGGATTGAGACTATTCAGGAAGATTTGAAAATGAGTATAATTTGTTACTTAAAAATTATCTGTTGTCATTTATAGTAAATAACTTTTATTAGGCTTTGGTTAACTGCTGCTTAACAAATGATAAATGTCTGATACTTAAAACACTAGTCAGATTCAGTATATTTTTTGGTAATTTCTAAAAGCCTTAAATAATTGGCAGTTATGATAGAACATAAACAAGAAGAGGAAAGAAATGTTGCTTGGTACTTAGTAGCTTCCTTTTTTTTTTTTTTCTAAAAACATTTGTCAGATTCTTCCAGAAGGAGTCAAATAATTGGCATGTTTCCATTTATTCAGTTCTGACTTTCAAGATCTTGATAGGAACATAAAAGCTAATATGAAGATTACCTGCTAATGCCTTTTCACCTATAACTATTAACACTCTTATGAGGAGTTTGTCTGTATTGGGCATTAACCATTAAATGTCAGTAAATGTTAGTAAGCATTAAATGTGAGTAAGCATTAAAAATTGGCAAGTCGGGGACATATAGGTGGTATAAGATTACAAATAGGAAATTCAAAAATTAAACTGAGTCACAAAAGAAATACGTGACCAGACTTACATGAAAAGAAATAAACAGAATTTATAAAGTTATAGATTTTTTTACATTTCATAATTCATTCGGTGAGCTTTCTCAAATGCCTCGACAGTAATGATAGCCCTGAGAAATCAGTAAAAATAAAACACAATTCATGCTTATCTGCTGCTGCTTTTTAAGGAAAAATAAATGGACTCAGTTTTTGAAGAATATTTGACTCCTTATGGAATCACTAATCCATTTATATTGCAATTTCCTAAAAAAAATTCCCTGTTCATGATTTTAAGCAAAAGTTCAAATCCTTCCTTACATTTATTCAGAAAACATTTGAGTTTCTCCTATGTGCCAGATATGCGCAGCACTAAGAATACACAGATGAACTGGACATAACCCTTTTAAAGAGCTCAGTAGTGATGTTTGTTAGAAGTGACTATAAAGTGGGAAAGTGGAGAAAATGCAGCTTTAAATATGGATCAGTCAAACTCCTGGAGTATCAGGAGCAGTTCATTGTTTTGTACAAATCTGCCCTTGGCATTTCACATATAGGCTGAACAAAGCACATTATATTGTAAATTTAGTGTTGGCAGCTGGGAACACTAATTGGAGGAGGGTGGCTATCTGGAGACACATTAATGATGGTTTTCAGATCTACATTTATTCAGTGTCAATATGAGAAAATACTTAGGCACATTAAAACAACTAATTTAAGGTCACCTCTACTATGTTTAACCACACGTATGTTAGGACATGAACATTGCTTTTTTTTTCTTTTTCCTTGGTACAGACCCATTCACATTAACTAACCAACCCTGTAACAGAAATGGCTTGCATTTGATAGCACTCTGATGTAGGATGTCTGCCTTGGGTTCGAATAAAAGCTACACAAACATGATTCTCGAGCTCACTTGCCTTAGAGTACTTAGAGGAATTGGTATTCCAAGACAAAGTTTGAATAAAGCTTAAATAAAAAATTATATTAAATAACTAGTACTCCTAATTAATGACTTGAATTCCTTTGTATTTTTTCATTAGAAATATCTCATCGTAAACCTTTAGTGATTTTTGCCATTGTTGTATTAGTGTGAAGTAGCTAGAGCTTGACAAACTCAGGTCAGATATAAATCTCTTGACTGAAAAGGTAAGGTTAATAACTAACAAAGCAAAGAGTATTTATGGTTCTGACAGGTACAGGACTGCACTTCTAGCACAGTGAAAAATCTCAAAACTTTAATGGGGTTTGGCCTTTGTGGTAAAAAGGAATAAAACAAAATGCTTTGGCAAAGATAATTAGATGTTACCTGGTCTCCTAAGACTTAGTACTGCACTCTGCTTAACCTTTCCTGAAATGTAATGGTGTTAAAAGATTGTAAAGCTAAAGAGCAGGTACAAGCAAGGATGCCCATTCTCACCACTTACGTTCAGTACTTGACTGGAGGTCCAAGCCAGTATATTCTACCAGGACAAAGAAACAAAGACTCTCAGATTGGAGAGGAAGAAACAATACTGTCTTTATTTAGAGATATTATGCTCATTTATGTGAAAAAGATCTTTTAATTCTAGATGTCTGGTCTCATAGATCAGAGTATTTTCTTCCATTGTGTGACTTACTTTAAATTGTTAAATGGAGAGATATATAAATTATGAAGATCAGAAAACTTCCAGTTTTTCAAAAAGGAAAAAGTAGATTCCAGAATGAAAACTGAGACGTTGTATCAGTTAGGAGGGCAACCAAGCATAACAGTTAATACT